GTCTGAAGAAAAAGCTATCCATGTTCAAGTCGATTTCTTCTATGCTAATGAGTCGTGACCGTTACAAAAAAACATCCAACGGCGGTTCAAGGTGCTTGCTGAGACGAATGGGGCATTCACGTGTCTCTACATGCTCCGAGGTTCAGTTATTCGAGAGTGATTTGGTGTATAGTCGCTGCTTCTTCAGGTTGAGCAGCTACGATCATTTGGGCATATGCTGCGAATTATTGCTCAATATTTCAGCACAAGATCGCAGGGATTGTCAAGAATAACCTAAGGCACCTGTTTCGAACTCATTACTCGCGGTTTCTTCTGCCGAAGCTAAAACCTGGCACAGGATCAGGAACGTTCGAGACGTTGTCAGAAGCGTTTATCTTCACAACCCGCTAGGATAAGCGGTCATCACAACTGAATCACTGAGTGAAGAGAAGATTTGTATCTCTTGAAACGAGGTCAAAAGGCGACCAGTTACATTATATGTTTTGACTGTCCGCTTCGACATCCTGCAGATGTACATATTAGCTGTCCGAAGAGAGAGTAATTCTTTTGTGCTTTGCTGATACTGTAAAACAGAACAAACTAGGGCTATTAATGCACAACAAAAGAAATAATTTGGTCACTTGGATAATTGAACACTACCTACTTTTCAGTACGTATGAGGTTGGTTAGTAAAGTTTCAAAGGCTTTTTTTCCTGTAGTCCGCAGCGGGTGGTAGACTTGGAGTCAGAATGCGAGCTTCCGATCGATGCTCTTGGTTAAATAACTTCTGGGCGACAGAAGCGACAAGGCTGATCCAATTCGTACAGAGTTAAACACTCATTTTATGGTTGCATTCTCTCAGTACTGGATGACAGATACATTTCTTGACTCATATGTGCAACCATTGTCTTTCTGTGATGAGGTCAACATTGAGGAGGAGGGGTGGACCATTTCCTTATTGTGCGGGTGTAGCACAATCTTGGAGCTCTATTCACATTGTTCCATTGGCTTTGTTGTAGAAGAGTCTTTGTTTTCTTTTCGAGTGCTTCGTCTTCACGTGTTGCTCACGCTCTTCCGCGATCATTCATCTACTCCAGTTTTACAGTGGGTTTTTATTCTCTAAGTGAACGTGTTCCCTGTTCCTCATACGTAACATTATCCGTATTCACACGGTACTTTGGAAACCCAGCCTAGTGACTTGTAATTTTTAGAGTTACTTAATAACGCATTAAGTCCATTAAGACTTTCACATTTACTGTTTTTATTATGTCTAGTGTGAAGCAGTCTTTGTGACTTTTATGATAAGATAGAACTAATTAGAATGTTATTTTGATATTCTTGGTGCTGCAAGTTGATTTAAAGTAACTTATGCTAATACGGTTAATGAAGAAACGACATCGAAGGGGAAAAGCTCGATTCTGACATACAAAAAGTTGTTAAAAACCGCTTCTTTGACGAGAGAACATCAATCCTGTCGGTACTTTCGACTGCATCAACTAGTCTCTGCTCTTTGAATGATGGGATGTTCCGTATTACAACTGTGAGCTCCCACAATCGGTATTGTCCCTGTGGAACTTCATATGACGTGCTATAATGGCACTGTACTGCCTCCTTCTGCATTCAGACGTATATGGGGTCATTTAATCAGGCAACGGCTCTATGGCATTATGGCATCTGCAGTGCATGGGATGAGTTTTCATTTGCAGCACAAGCTTGAGTTAAATGAAGGTATATTCACCCAAACGAGAGTGCCACAACCCGTAATCGGATAAGTGACAAAATATAACCCCGATATTATTGGGGAGTTTTCGATAACACGCTGAATATATCGTAGTAACAATGTGCTGCTGGTGTAAAGTAAGAAATACGTTTTCTTTCTCTATATTATGCATTCTCACAGTTTCAGTCCGGTATCATCATTATTTTTAATATAAAACAATTAGTCCCTGCCAAGATTTGCAGTCAATTATATTATCATGTAAGCCCTGTTTCTTTTCCTGGAAATCAGAGAGAAAAACAAAATCGATCCAGATTTATTCGTGATGTTGCACGCCTTGGATGGTAGTTATTCGCAGCTGGTTTTTCATTGTTTATAGAGCCAATTGCTAATCAAGATGCGCTGAAGGAAAGCAGCAAATGAAAAGAATTTTTACAGCATCAGTTCGACCTCATCAATCAAATGGTTTAGCACAGAGACAAGTGTTTCACGTCTGTACTTACGGGTTTAATGAGCTATCAAACGAATTCCAGTGAATTGCGATCATATAAATTCTGGCATCAGACAGCATGGGCGTATTGGAATTACTATTCCGTCCGTAATGTTTGCAGGTGAACGACTTGCAAATCGTTTCTCGATTGGTTGCACTGATCCACCGCTGTTTTTCTTTTGAAATTTAACATGCGAATGACATTTAATAATTAAATCACAATTCTACATCAAATACGAAAGAGAATTTAGCGTACATTGCAACAGTCGATCGATCGCACGATCTTATAAGCAGAATTTTGACTATCGAGTGGAATTGGCTATTTAACAGCAGCTGATTTTTTATTACGCGTGTTAAACTTCGGTGAAAGTGAGAAAAAAAGAGCCAGCAATTTTACAGCTGTTCTTCATTTGTGAAGTTAAACATTTAGTCATGTAGTATTATTTCTGATAGTAGTAAATGTTCAAACAGTTGTCTGAAATTAAAGGGAAATTTCATGCTATCGATTGTTTCAGTGTGGAAAGGAGGAAGGTTGCAAAGCTGACCTGAACTTGGAAATGACGAATCAAAACGGTTGCGATGGAGATTCGAAGCAGCGCTCAAAGTTGCATTGGAATCATAGAAAGCTGTTGGACGCAGTAACGAAAGCCAGCGTCCCTTTGCCGTTCATAAAGAAGTGTAGCTGCGCAGAAAAGTCGCTTGGTCAGCAAATACCGGCTCTTGCTGACCAGACGAAGCAGAGTAAATTCGATTTCGATGAAGACGACTATATAGCAGGTGCCTGTTGTGACTGCCTCCATTATCGTAGCGCCGCCTTGGTCGTTGGAGTGCTAGAGATCATTATTATCATCGCATACATTGTCTTCCAGTACCTGTATGATTCTTCATACGGTAAAAACAACGATCTCCGTTTCACCTTTGCATGGAAACTGATCGTTGTTGTTTCCCTGCTGATCATTATTCTCTTACTGTTCGTTGGAGTGCTGACTGAAAAGCCATTCCTGCTATGGCCACACATGGTAGGCCAGATCCTCGGCATCACCGTCGCCTTAATCTTTACGCTAGTGTCCGTGTTCGTGATGTCTGCCGGAGAAGAGATGTCAGACATGGTCTTCGGCATATTTTTTGGTGAGGATCACATCCCTCGCTTAGAATTCTATCTTGGTCCAATATGGCCTTTCTGTTTGGCTGTGATCTTCAACTTTTCTGCGGCCATTGGCATCCTGTTCTACTCTATCGTCCGCGGCTGCTATGATTACCTACAACAAAAGTCGATTGCTGCAGAAGCATGCCGCCCCGCAAATTCACAACCTGTACTGGTTTACAGCCTTGCCCGTAGCGCAACTGCACTCTTCAAAATTCATGGCACAACCAGAAGTGACGATGTCAAAGAAGACAACTAATCCAAAAGTCTAAACTTTGAGAGCTGTGTTTTTACTCACCATTTGAAATTTCTGCGCAGCAAGTAAGCTGACTTCAAAATTCTTCTTCTGCAATTCCATGAATCAATATTTTAAAAAAAAACTTTCGTATACCTATTAATAAACTGAAAAGACTTCAAATCGATATCATTTCCGCTATTTATTTTCTGCTTCAAAATCTAATTTTTCATACACTTTATGAAGAGCGAATTCAACATCTCGTAACACAGCGATGTACAGTAGATCATTTAACATAAACTAGAGGTAACTCATAAACCTAGAAATCATTGAAAAAAGATACTTTGAGTTGCAACCGTGGAAACTTGAACGCCTTTTCTTTGCTAACTCTGTCAGTTTCATTCTGACTTTGTATACTTGTACCGTCCCCAAGAACTGCTGTCCTTTCTTATGAGTTGATGTTAAATCAATAAAAAATGCAGCGTCTCAGATTACAGAACAACGATCAAGTACACCGACGACTATAAAAACTTCATGCAGGCAATGATATACGATTCATTGTTGCATACTCCATTGTTTTCATTCATGAGTCTGAGTTGGCACCATTAGTTTCATACGCAACTTACACGATCGGTTCTCTACAGTAGGACGATAGGTAAGAAATTAATGTGGATAATACAGAGCGCTACTTCTTTTTCTGTTTCTTTGTCTTGTTTTTTTACCTCATCGTTTTTCTCTTCCTTTTATTTTATTTCTTCATAAGTTTATATATTGGCTCATCGTACAATGATTTGCAACAAATTCACAATCACTGACAAATATTTGGGTATTCAACTTCCCCTTTCCGACATTTAGTTTTTGTAAGATCCCGTCGATTTAGATCGAAACGTTTAAATTAGATCAGATATTTTCGTTTCTAATTTCTCTCGCCTTTGCAACGAACGTCGCCGTACAGCAACGCTCATACGGAATACTTCGAAGAGTTGAGCGTGACAATTCGGCCATAGAATTTTGATGCTAATTCAACCCTTGTCAAATACGGCATTTGAAAACTCATTGTAGTCCTTTCAGTTAAGCGTTTTCAAACGTAGTTTAACTTCTTTTACAGTCCTTCATGACAATAAACAAGTGTCGTAATAATATATACAGCCGCGGATGAAAAGACTGAAATATTCGTACTATTATTAGTCAAAAGCAAACATAAACTAGCCGGACATCGTCAGGTGGTTTTAGGGAAGGACTACTGCAAAATGTAAAGTTAATCTTCAATCTTGCTATATTATTTTCCTTCCAGAACGTCATTCAAATTTATTCAGTCGATAAGTCAGTTTGGATGACCGCTTATCCTTTCGGGTCGTGGAAGCAGTCGAGTCAGGCATTTCTCTGATGTTTTCATTCCTGTGCCACGCTTCAGCTTCGTGAGAAGATAACCTGAGACTGGAATATAGTTAATCGAGACAGTGGCCAAGGTTATTCTTCGCAGTCACTAGGATGTTTGGCTGTTGGTGGAAGCTGTTTCGTTTGCTTTTTTGGAAGCGTTCCAAAGACGCATTTATGCCTTTGAAGCTGTGATTTCTGAATCGACATAAGCAGCGGCTCTGTACCAAGTATATTATGGATATCTAAACTCTGGAAGTTTTAGAGTTCTGAACCAAGCAATGCATCGCACAAAGCCCGTTTCCATCGCTTATACCAGAGATCGAAGTTTCTCCGTCATTGGTGTTCATTGCAGACAGTTCTGTTGTTGTCGCAAAGTTACTGCAAAAGTCCCAAGGGCTGTTTTTTACAAGCACGGTTTTTCACTTTCAGGGCCAGCTCTGACAGGCTCATTGAAATCACCAATCAGAATGATGGATTCTCTACTGGGTACTTCGCACAGGGTACCTTCTACCTCTCTCAGAAAAGATTCAGTCCCATCCGAATTGAGCGCCTGAACTTTAACAAGGTGAAAGCATTAGACTGATGCAACTTCAGTCAGAGGATAGCTTCGCTTTGTTGAAAGGCTTTCGTTCAATGATTCTGTTAGATCAGTTCAATTCTACTAAAGCACAAACACCGGTCTATAGGGGCCATAAAGTTGACATCTGAATAGGGATGATCTCACTGGCAGAAGTTCCGAATTTCACAGCTCCGGTGCAACTATGTGCAGTTGGTTCCTTGCGATTTCATCAGCCGATGTTGTCTTTTCGTCATCATCTGAAGTTAATTTACCTTAAACAACGGAATAAATCAGATTTATGATGTATGATATTAAAAATGGCACTTCATTGGAGATCGGCACTCATCAGCAACATGCTGATCTTTTTCCTGGAGTGAAAAATATCTTTCTCAGTGATCAGATCATAAAAACAGAGAACAGTTTCCATAAAAAGCTGCAAGTAATCAACCATTATGGCAGCACATGCTGACTTGATACCAATGAAAATATTAAAATACGCATAGAACTTCTTACTTTGCATTATGTGGTGTCATGTTTCGCTATGATAGCCATGTAACGTGCCAAGCTAGAATTCTCTTTTTTCGTTTATGAAAATCAAGTAGCTCGGAAGCAACTGATCACTATGCACCTTGAAGGAAATTACAATCAGTTGATTACAAAAGAAAATGTTTTAAGATAAATGCGGTAGTTAGATGCCTATCTATTTGCCACCAGTTCTCGATAAAGTTTCCGGAAGCATCCTACTATCTAGATGTAACTTAGTGCTTGGAAGAAGTCGCATCCGCAGCATTTTTACGCGTTACATGATGTCTTTCATAACCAACGACAAATGCAGCGATTTTTCATTGAGAGATTTCAGAGATAAATAAAGAACGTAACAGACTTTTATATATGCCCTATCTAGATCTAAAATCGTTCTTAATTTTGTATCGATTGTCATTGGTTCGTTATGTACAAGGGACATCGATGTTACGGGCACAGGAGTTAAACATCGACAGATTTTCGCTGATGCGCAGCTCTGCCGATTGATCTACTGAATCGTTTAGCACAAGTAACAGTTCGGAAGTGCATGAATGAAACACTTCATGTTCGAGGACCCGGAACAGTTCTTCCAAGTCGCAGATTTGCAAGCTTCTGCAATTCGTCAAGTTTCTGCTGCTCGTGCCTTATCTTCTCAATTATGACGTTAAGACGCCCTGAGTCTTCGGCAAATGAAGCCAAAATATGGATTGTCTGCCATGCTTTTATTCAGTGCTGCTGCATGAAACTAATATTTTAATGTGATAGTTGTCTGTCAATAATATTGAAGTCATTCTGGTAAGGAGTCACCACTTCTCAACATAAATTGCCTTGACATAGGTTAACGCACGACCTTAATCGGATTCATCAATCTACTCACTATCAATAACATAATCTGCTATTGTAGAACTGTTTCTGCTTAGGTAGCTGTCAAGGCTTCCCATGAAAGTTTTTTATAATAGTGTCCTTGCAGCGGTTTCCAATACTGGCAATGCAATCCCGCATTTTACCAAACTCGCATTAGGTCACAAAGCAATAAACTTGTAAAACTGATTGAATGGGCAGTTCTGCAGAACATACATTTCTATTGCATTACTTTTATCACTATTTAACGCAACAGTCTGTTGCGCGACGATCATAACGCCTTTGGATTCCACCATAATATGCATGGTACAAACTACAATTAACATGAGTAGAACTTGTCCTGTAAATTAGGTTATACGGTAGCAACTAAATACTGTATTAGCGGGTTTCACGCTTTAGACTACATTTATTGATGATGTTGATTTGTTCGTCGACACTGACGGGTTTTGAAGGGGTGATTATAGGCAATGAAACTGCGTGCTTTTGCAGTTATGTTGGCGTCTTAAACTTGTTAAAGTTGCTGATTAGCCTTGAACCATTTCAGTCTCAGGAGATAAGCTGGGTTACGCTAAATCGCGTTAATTCGTTATTTCGACAGTGGCATCAGACCAAAAGTCCAGTTGCTTTTTATAAGTAAAGCTGTTCAAGCGGTTCTTTCTAATGTAATATTCCTTTTCTTTCGTTATTTTAATTTTTAGTTAAAGCAGAGTCGCTTTTCAGAACATTTTCAGGTGCGAGAAGAAAGTTGTCACTGTTGTATCTCGCTGCTACGAATATTCTTCCTATAGATGTTTTTCTCTTCGACTGCGAGAAGCTCCTGAATTTTAAGCATAGCCATTTCATGTCGGATTTGCTTAATTTCCGGTTATTGCATTAAATTACCCGTCGGTTTATAATGCTTTCCATTGAGAAGGACTTGACGTTTCGCGTATGAGACTATGACTATGATCTTTTCTGTTAGGTGATGGCCAACTGAAAGGCTTATTAGAATTTCGCCTAAGTTATGGTTATGATCTCTCGAACGGGATCGTTTCCCAGTTTAATAGCATGTTTTTATGGCATTGGCGAACGTGTTTACCAGTTTACCAAGCATTTGCGTTTCACTCTGGCGTCTTTCATTTATCTGCATGTGTGTGTCTGATGTTATGCCTGCCTCCAGGCCGGCCTGTGCTGTCTCCGTCGGCCAGCGCTGCACATGTCGATCCGAGTGCACATCTCGGTGTAACTGGCATGCGCAACTTCTGTTCGTGATTACTCGTCGACTTTGTCTGGCTCACTCAGCTGATGATGTCATGCCGCAGCCGTTCGTCTGTGCTCTTCTTTCTTGAGGAAGCGAAATCTGACCGGAGAACTAGCAGCAAACTGCTTGACGCTCATTCTGTGACATGAAGATCATCCTTTTCACATTGTATTTTGTTAATTGACTCTCATGTTTAAACTCAACCGGTCTTACGTTTGCTTCTCAAGCAGAAATAACTGAAAGACTTCATTTCAGAGTCATATTTCCCTCTGTGTCTCTACTTCTGAAAATTTGACAAAGGAGAAAGACTGCTGTTGACTTAGGGTTCCAAATTTCGCATTTGTTCTTATAAACTCATTATATTTTCAGGTCAAAGCACGCTCATCGTTCTTTCGTTCGATCCAGTAATGCTGACCGACCGCGAAAAGAGAAAGCAGATCAGCGTGCGTGGCATCGCTCAGGTGGAGAATGTGGCAAATATCAAGAAAACGTTCAACCGTCATCTACACTTCACGATGATCAAGGACAGAAATGTGTCCACTCCGCGAGACTACTATTTCGCACTGGCCCACACCGTGCGCGATCACCTGGTCTCCCGATGGATCCGTACACAGCAACATTATTACGACAAAGACCCTAAGGTTAGCATCATCGTACTTACCATAAATATTCCTCCTTCTCGTTGTTTTCCATTACATTTCTTCCACCAACTGCAACGTTAAACTTATTATTCGTTCAAAACCACCACTTGGCAAATAAAGTTTTGAAACGGCAGTAGTCATCTATTCTGTATAATAAACTGTTTATTTAGTCTGTTTCCAGAAAAGCTGTAGAATTCTATTAAGCTTTTATTCTAGTAATTTTCGCAGAGATTGCAAATTGCGACCTTCCAAAAGTATATTAGTTACTATTTTTGTTTTCCGCATCGTTTTCATGATTTCGAATAAACGTCATGTTGAGACACCAGTCAGCCAGTTTCATTGGCTGTTTATGATTTCCATTTGCGTAGGCAACAGCGTCTCCAACATCATTTCTGACTTGCACCAGAGTTTGAGTCTCAGTAGAAGATAATCCGAGTTTCGAGCACTGTCTCTCGAGTCATTTTCCCCAGGTTATTCTTGTCCTTCCATCCCCAGGGTCTTCAACCAGTCAGTTGAGCAAATGGTAGCTGCATCGCCTTTTTTGAAAACATTATCATGTCCTTCCAAACCATCGCAATTGTTACTTCTCACTCTGTACATTAAAGCTCTTTCGAATTCTCTATTCTGAGCCATTTTGAAACGCGTGAGCTCAGCGTTTTGTCTCAGAAAACCCATTTTAGCCGCGGCTGATGATCCATGACCATAGTGAGCAGGGGGATAAATATCGACTTGAACACTTACGCTTTAGTCTTCCGACTTTTCTCTGCCTTAGTCAGAGTGCTTCGGACAGCCGATTTACCGGTCAGCCTCATCCTCCTATTGTCCATCACCACTAAACACGACTCCTACGTATGTTAACTTCTCAAATTGCTCCACTAATTCTCCGTTTATCGGCAGAACTCAGATGATTGAAGAACGATTATGCATTAGACTTTTCGTTTTGCTGCATTCTGGCAACGTCCACTCAACACTGCGAACATTTTCAGAGCGCATTGGAGATCAAACTCAGAAGATGTCGTCTAAAGCATATGGTCTTCAAACAGCTAACGTTTCCTCTCGACACCTCCTTTATCTTTTTTTAGCCTTATTATCCTACCCATATACACTACAGACAGGCGACGCTACAGAATATACCCTTAGCAGAAAGTAGTGCTAATGTTGAAAGCTTTTGACGTGATGCCATTTACTCTGACGCTTCCCTGGCTATCAACATATAGTTACTGGATGGTTCGTAGCAACGATCTCACTATTCCAGATGTATGTAGAAAGGCTGACAGCTTATTGCATGGATTTTTACGTGAGATTTCGGTGTCTACAAAGCACGCGTAAAGAGCAGCATGTTAACATTATTAACACAGTTAACATCAGCTTGCTAACAGCTTGTTTTCATTTTCAACAAAATAATTTTAAAATTATTCCTGATAGTTTTTAAACTGTATCAGATCTGTGAAAATACGATATAATTTTGAATAGCTTTTCTCATCAAGACACTACTTGGAATATTCTTTAGATTTTATTCCAGAATCTTCTAAATTATTTATTCTCATTGAATAATGAATTCGAAGTACCGAAAACTGATGATATGGCGACGAAAAATCCATTGTTTCTGACGGTTTTTTCTGCTTAAGCAGAGAAATGTAGATAAATTCTCTCCTCAAGTAAATATCAAAAATCTGCTTAAGTTGGCTGATTGTTCATTCTGTTTAGCTTTCTGGAATATCTCCAAATTACTGGTTACGGACGGCAAATGCTGTTTTTCCCTGTTTCGCTTGAATTTGCTCAAATACTTTTCGTCCATGGTATTAATGCTCTTAGCCATGTTGCAGCTAAACTGTGTACTAATTGCAACAATCGATCTGTTTCTCAAGGACAACGTAATAGTAGTTTCGATTCGTTTCTTGCAACCAGTATTGTACATTTTCATTTTGGTTTACCTCGTTTGACTCTCGTACTTTTCAAAATATGTTGCCAGTGCTGCCCAACCACCTGTTTTTGCTTATGGTACTAAACTGTGTAATGCTTTGTAACTTGGAGGCTTTCCGCTTTTCGATTCAAGGGCGGTTCCTTAAGTCAAAATCGATCGAAAGGACAACATTGCAGTTTCCTCTTGTAAAGTATAGAAAGCAGAAACTTATTGTATAAATTATCAGGTCGGTGACTATTGGAAGGGTTTTAACCTTTGCTTAAAGATGTATGATTTCCTTCAAGTCACAGGATTTCCATCATTGTGAAACCTAGTTAATGCTCACTACTCTACGTCAGCGAATGTGAATCGATTACTGCTCTCAGTCGAATGATGCGCTATGCACTGCACTGCGGATAAACGCAGTTCCATTACGGCAAGTAAATAATGTAGTAGTCACAAAAGTGATTCATCGAGTAAAGTGGTATGATAATAACCGGATATTGGTCAAGAAACTATCCGTATCTCTGTCGCACAGAAAGACGAAAACAAATCAAGATTCACGTTATTCAAGATAAAGCTAGCAACCGAAAGCGACCGAAGCACTAACTTGACAGTCAGCAGATAAACTCCCTAGCCTGCTTCAAGCAGTCATTAACCATACGTATCGGGGTGACAGGAATCAGTAAAATTAAACGTGACTCTCAAAATAGTTGCTAGAACAACACTTCGAGGTCGTAAATACGAAAACTTCCGACTTCCGACAATTCTTTGCGTAGCATTTCAGTTCATGCGCTTTTTAAGGCCCATTTAGAAAAGAATAATAAAATTTAATCTGGGAAGTGTTTTTTACAGCCGATTTTTTTGGAACAAAAACAAATTTGTTTCGTATTTATTTAGTAATTGGCTCTTATTTTGAAAGGATAAAA